ACTCCCCATTGGTGTGTGGGGGTCAGGGGGGTGTGGGGACCTCGGGACCCCCCCATCGGTACGGGGGTTCAGGGGGGTGTGGGGACCTCGGGACCCCCCCATCGGTATGTGGGGTCTGGGGGTGTGGGGACCCTGGGACCCCATTGGGGTGTGGGGGACAAGGGGATCCTGTCCTGGGGGGCTGTGGGAGGCCATGGAGCCCCATGGGTACATGGGACATGGGGAGACCCTGCTTTGGGGGGCTGTGGGAGGGAGTGGTACCCTTGGGACCCCCCAAGGGTACGTGGGGAGACCCCATGGTCACACCACAGGAGCAAAACACAGGGAGAGAGCAGCTCCGACCCCCTTGGGGTCCCAGCACCCCTGGAGCCCCCTGGTCACCCTGAGAGGGGGAACAGTGTGTCCCCATGAGGGGGGCTGGTCCCAGCACCCCTGGAGACCCCAGGTCACCCTGAGAGGGGGGACACCCCAATCCCCACGAGGGGGGCTGGTCCCAGCACCCCTGGAGCCCCCTGGTCACCCTGAGAGGGGGGACAGTGTGTCCCCATGAGGGGGGCTGGTCCCAGCACCCCTGGAGACCCCTGGTCACTCAGAGAGGGGGGACAGTGTGTCCCCACGAGGGCCTCAGGCCCCAGCAGCCTGGGCTGAGCGGGATCTGTTCCCAGCTGCCATCCTGGAGCGCAACGGGAACGCCCTGGCCAACAGCGCCCGGCGCCTGGAGGTGGTCAGGAACTGCATCTCCTACGTCTTCGAGAACAAGATGCTGGAGGCCAAAAAGGTGAGGGGGGCTGGCCTTGGGGAGTGTCCCAGAGGAGCTCAGCTCAGAGGAGCTGGGAAATCCAGGAGCGAGGAGCAGTTTTGTGATCACATCCTAATTAACGAGATCCTAATTAACGAGATTCTAACGAGTTCTGACCCAGAGAACTGAGATAAACCAAACCAAACTTCAGAGAAGCTCAGCCCAGAGGAGCTGAGGAATCCAGGAGCGAGGAGCAGTTTTGTGATAATATCCTAATTAACGAGATCCTAACGAGTTCTGACCCAGAGAACTGAGATAAACCGAACCAAACTCCAGAGGAGCTCAGCTCAGAGGAGCTAAGGAATCCTGGAGTGAGGAGCAGTTTTGTGATCACATCCTAATTAACGAGATCCTAATTAACGGGATCCTAATTAATGAGATCCTAATTAACGAGATCCTAACGAGTTCTGACCCAGAGAACTGAGATAAACCGAACCAAACTCCAGAGGAGCTCAGCTCAGAGATCTGGGAAATCCAGGAGCGAGGAGCAGTTTTGTGATAACATCCTAATTAACGAGATCCTAATTAACGAGATCCTAACGAGTTCTGACCCGGAGAACTGAGATAAACCCAACTCATGAGGGAGTGTCCCAGAGGAGCCCAGCTCAGAGATCTGGGAAATCCAGGAGTGAGGAGCAGTTTTGTGATCACATCCTAATTAACGAGATCCTAATTAACGAGATCCTAATTAACGAGATCCTAACGAGTTCTGACCCAGAGAACTGAGATAAACCCAACTCATGAGGGAGTGTCCCAGAGGAGCTCAGCTCAGAGGAGCTGGGAAATCCAGGAGTGAGGAGCAGTTTTGTGATCACATCCTAATTAACGAGATCCTAATTAACGAGATCCTAATGAGTTCTGACCCAGAGAACTGAGATAAACCGAACCAAACTCCAGAGGAGCCCAGCTCAGAGGATCTGAGGAATCCAGGAGCGAGGAGCAGTTTTGTGATAACATCCTAATTAACGAGATCCTAATTAACGAGATCCTAACGAGTTCTGACCCGGAGAACTGAGATAAACCCAACTCATGAGGGAGTGTCCCAGAGGAGCTCAGCGCAGAGGAGCTGGGAAATCCAGGAGCGAGGAGCAGTTTTGTGATCACATCCTAATTAACGAGATCCTAATTAACGAGATCCTAATTAACGAGATCCTAATTAATGGGACCCAAAGAACTGAGATAAACCCAACTGATGAGGGAGTGTCCCAGAGGAGCTCAGCTCAGAAGAGCTGGGAATCCAGGAGTGAGGAGCAGTTTTGTGATCACATCCTAATTAACGAGATCCTAATTAACGGGATCCTAATTAACGGGATCCTAATGAGTTCTGATCCAGAGAACTGAGATAAACGGAACCAAACTCCAGAGGAGCCCAGTGCAGAGGAGCTGAGGAATCCAGGAGCGAGGAGCAGTTTTGTGATTACACCCTAATTAATGAGATCCTAATTAACGAGATCCTAATGAGTTCTGACCCAGAGAACTGAGATAAAACCCAACTCATGAGGGAGTGTCCCAGAGGAGCCCAGCTCAGAGGAGCTGGGAAATCCAGGAGCGAGGAGCAGTTTTGTGGTAACATCCTAATTAACGAGATCCTAATTAACGAGATCCTAACGAGTTCTGACCCAGAGAACTGAGATAAATGGAACCAAACTCCAGAGGAGCTCAGCTCAGAGATCTGGGAAATCCAGGAGCGAGGAGCAGTTTTGTGATAACATCCTAATTAACGAGATCCTAATTAACGAGATCCTAACGAGTTCTGACCCAGAGAACTGAGATAAACCCAACTCATGAGGGAGTGTCCCAGAGGAGCCCAGCCCAGAGGAGCTGAGGAATCCAGGAGCGAGGAGCAGTTTTGTGATCACATCCTAATTAACGAGATCCTAATTAATGAGATCCTAATTAACGGGATCCTAACGAGTTCTGACCCGGAGAACTGAGATAAACCCAACTGATGAGGGAGTGTCCCAAAGGAGCTCAGCTCAGAGATCTGGGATATCCAGGAGCGAGGAGCAGTTTTGTGATAATATCCTAATTAACGACATCCTAATTAACGAGATCCTAACGAGTTCTGACCCAGAGAACTGAGACAAACCGAACCAAACTCCAGAGGAGCTCAGCTCAGAGGAGCTGAGGAATCCAGGAGCGAGAAGTGCAGCAGAATGAGGAAGAGCAGGTTTAGAGTGGCAGAGAGCAGCCCGTAATTCCCATTTCTGTTTGCCCAGCTG